TAGAAAATTATTGAGAACGTTACCTAGCTTCTTTTACAGGAAGAATATAATGCAATGGTAAGTTTTGACGAGGTGATTCCTGCTCAATGATGCTATCTATTTTCTGGATCAGTTTCGGAGCTGTGATTTTCGTCGGCTTCTAAAAAGTTAATGACCATGAACGTTTGCCTAAAAATCCTAACAACCTTGGTGATGATGGGTGGCAGCATCTCCTCATCCTCAATTGGCTCCGGCCCTGGCTCTTCATCACGTTTTGAGTCTCTAACTTTCTTAGGAGTTTCCTTAGACGTGTCGTCGTCCAAAATCTCTCGACGCGGTGCAGGCGTTGGAATAGTGGAACGCGATAAAGAATCGTAGAAGCGCTGAATTTGAAAATTAGTTTTAGTATGCGCCCTGGCTTATTCTTACCGTATCCTCCAAGATAAAGTTAAACTGAATAGTTATCTTTGGTGCACTCTCAGTAAATATGCTGTCATCTCTACGATAGAGGTGTAGCAAATTCTTGAAACATAAGCTCTCTTCCGGATTCGGACGAGGACCACCAATTAGAGAAACTGGAATAATGACTTTTAAGAAAATGAAGGAATACACAGAAGATGTTTTTTAAAAAAAAGAAGAAGAGGGAAAGAAAGAAGTGACACAGGGTTTGTACCCTGGTGAGATTATAAAAAGTATAATATAAGAGAGCAGAGCAAACTGTTACTGCACCTGACGCTTGGATCCTCCCGTTCAGATGTAACTGTGGACGATTCGAGAAAGGCTGCCAAGCTCCCCAACACACAATCACCGACTGGCTGTGGATAACGCTCTTCTAAATGTAATTGATTTGATTATGGGTAAGACTAGACTTCTTCCTGCCAGAGGCTGGTTAATTTTCAATGATAAGAATATTTGGCAAGATAGAGGAGCATGCGAAAAGAAAATTACATCGCTTGATCGCAGCCCCAGAAGATAATCAAGCGCAAAAACTATCACCAGCCGGTCGTCATCTGCTATTTTTGGTAGCGAAACCCGCGATCGCACAAACAACGAGTTCATCTCAGATCTATAAGAATTATTGTAGGCACGGTACGTTGACGTCAAATCCTACGCATGCCTTATATCGCTACTGCTTCTGCTCATAGGTCGACCTTTCCGTCGAAGTGAATGCGAGCCACGAAGATGTTCATCAAGCGAAGATAAGTGGACAACCAGAGGTTCAAATAGAAAAGTGAAACTGTTATGGACGCCAATCTGTGAATAAAATCTTGTTTATAACCAGCTGTATAAACATTTCAAGATTGTTACCCTTAATCTTCGCTCCAATACTTGCATTGGTTCGCCTTTCGCTGAGAGAGGATGGTTTTCGCGATAAAGTCGGTCAGCATTTATCTGAAAAAAAGGGCTGACGAGTCATTATTTTAAAAAGTAAAAAAAGTACATCGTCAAGGATGAGCTTCTCAATGCGCTCAGCGTGTGGACCAAAGGACAATGAGATCTCATCCAAGGATGATAAAACATGAGGCATTTGAGCTGGTGCAGCGAGCTGTGGTCCTAAAATTTTGGATCATTTTCGGGCATAGCTATGTGGAAAGAACTTTGGTCTACAACGAAGAATTTCGAATCCATATGCCATAAACATACCGCTGTTATTTGTAAGCAACCCAG